TCGGGATGAGCACGCCATGTTGCAGTTTCCAAAATAAGTCCAACATTATATTTTTGAGCAACACTTGCAAATGTGCTTAAGTAATTTACCATCCACTGACATCCAGCTTCATCTTTCAATACAGTGAATGAAGCAAAGCATGGAAGTTCAATATGTTCATCAAAAATCAAAGAGGTACCCACACCACCCGTTGTAATAAAGAAATCACCAGATAATTGAGGTAATTGATTTCTATATTTAGCCATAATTAAGTTATAGAATAGATAACTGATTCAGTTATTTGAAGATTAATTATGAATCGTACAATACTATTGAAGTGAATATAATAATATGTGTGTGTTCGATTATTTAAGAACGCAAACAAAACCAAAGCGAATGTAGAACAATCGTATTACAAGAATAGAATACAGAAAAACAAAAATATACGTGTCTATATATATACTGATATTTGATTCCAGCGGTCGATAAGTCTACGACGTATCATGAATCATGAATATATTGATATACGCAGATAAGAATAAAGGAAAAAACCAGCATCACTTAGGGGAAAAAACCAGTATTACTAAAAGGAAGAAGCCGTTACATGATACGTAGTTATTAGTGGGACAAAAATACCAATATGTGATTTATTGGAACAAGAATAATCGATTCTGAGGATGTAGATAGTCACTATGACTCATTTCGTCCAAATTGGAAGATTTTTAAATAGCATTTGATAAAATCATCTACACCCATACTTTATCTATGAAAGTAGTAAGAAAATATTAATTAACAGCTAAAAATCACTTTTGAACATATTTTAGTTCTTTTTATTGAATGAAAATAAAAAAAATTAGATTTTAATTTTTTCACTAACTATTAATCTAAGAAAAAATTACATAAAATGTTATAAAAAGGATAAGTGATTATTGAAAATTTTCTACAGATCAAACAATTTTAACAGTCAATTCATCTTAAAGATGCTTAAAGTGTCCGATTAAATTTTTCCTTCATTGTTTTTATTGATAGATGTAGAAGTCAGCCCATGGAGTTACAATCCGGTTTGAGTGTGTCGATGAATTTGAATAGTTTTGTTGGTAAAACGGATATGTATTTTCAAATGGTACTTCTATGGTATTAATCTCGGATAATATCGGCATGTTAGAATATACTATTTCGGTGGTTCCGTTCGATGGCATATGGTTTGAGATAAATTTCTTTTTTCTACTAGGTGTTCTTGGTGAAATAGTTGGATAATAATTGTGTTCAATTAATACTTGATCATCGTTCATATTATTTATTGGCCACGTATCAATCATCACCGGCTGTATACGATGATGAATTGGTACTCGATTTGAAGTTGTTTTTTCCAATGTTCTATTAGATGTTGACCTCTCTGATATTTTATTGGATGTTGATTTTTCTAATACTCTATTAGATGTTGATTTCTCTGATATTTTATTAGATGTTGATTTCTCTGATATTTTATTAGATGTTGATTTCTCTAATACTCTGTTAGTAGT